TCAAACATATTGGTCTATAATTCTCTTTTTTGAGGGGGGTCTTTGCTGGCTTTGGGATCAAGGTAATGCTGGCCTCATAAAATGAGTTTGGAAGTTTTCCTTCCATTTCTATTTTTCAGAACAGTTTCAGGACAATAGGAATTAATTCTTCTTTAAATGATTGGTAGAATTACCCTGGGAAGCCATCTGGCCCTGGGGTCTTATTTTGGGGATATTTTTGATGACTGCTTCAACCTCCTTGCTGGTTAAGGGTCTGTTTGGGTTTTCTATTTCTTCCTGGTTCAGTTGTGGTAGTTTATATGTCTCTAGGAGTGCATCCATTTCTTCCAGATTCTCAAATTTGCTGGCATATGGTTGCTCACAATATGTTCTTATAATTGTTTATATTTCTTTGGTGTTGGTTGTGATCTCTCCCCTTTCATTCATGCTTTTATTTATTAGGGTCCTTTCTCTTTTCTTTTTGATTAGTCTGGCCAGGGGTTTATCAATCTTATTAATTCTTTCAAAGAATCAGCTCCTGGTTTCATTGATTTGTTCTCCTGTTTCTTTGGTTTCTATTTCATTGATTTCTGCTCTGATCTTTATTATTTCTCTTCTCCTGCTGGGTTTAGGTTTTATTTGCTGTTCTTTCTCCAGCTCCTTTAGGTATAGGGTGAGGTTGTGTATTTGAGACCTTTCTTGTTTCTTGAGAAAGGCTTGTATCACTATATATTTTCCTCTCAGGACTGCCTTTGCTGTGTCCCACAGATTTTGAACCATTGTGTTTTCATTATCATTTGTTTCCATGAATTTTTTCAATTCTTCTTTAATTTCCTGGTTGACCCATTCATTCTTTAGAAGGATGCCATTTAGTCTCCATGTACTTGGGTTCTCTCCAAATTTCCTCTTGTGATTGAGTTCTAGCTTTAGAGCATTGTGGTTTGAAAATATTCAGGGAATGATCCCAATCTTTTAATACCAGTTGAGACCTGATTTATGACCCATGATGTGATCTATTCTGGAGAATGTTCCATGTGCACTAGAGAAGAATGTGCATTCTGTTGCTTTGAGATGGAATGTTCTGAATGTATCTGTGATGTCCATCTGGTCCAGTGTGTCATTTAAGGCCTTTATTTCCTTGTTGATCTTTTGCTTGGATGATCTGTCCATTTCAGTGAGGGGAGTGTTAAACTCTTCTACTATTATTGTATTATTGTGGATGTGTTTCTTTGATTTTGTTATTAAATGGTTTATATAGTTGGCTGCTCCCATGTTAGGGGCATAGATATTTAAAATTGTTAGATCTTCTTGTTGGACAGACCCTTTGAGTATGATATAGTGTCCCTTCTCATTTCTTATTATAATCTTTAGCTTAAAATCTAATTTATCTGATAGAAGGATTGCCACCCCAGCTTTCTTTTGATGGCCATTAGCATGATAAATTATTTTCCACCCCCTCACTACAAACCATAAGTGACTTTTAATCTCACAAAACAAACTGAGGGTTGCTGGGGGGAGAGGGGGTCAAGAGAGGGGGGTGGGGTTATGGACATTGGGGAAGGTATGTGCTAAGGTGAGTGCTGTGAAGTGTGTAAACCTGGCGATTCACAGACCTGTACCCCTGGGGATAAAAATACATTATATGTTTATTAAAAAATTTTAAAAAAAGAAATAAATTCTAAAAAAAGAGTTGATAAGATAAGTTGGTTGGGAAAAGAAAGAAAAAGAAAGTGGAGAGAATTTGCTCAGGCTGAACACTAGAACAAAGCCCTATGCTAGATTTAGGGTATATTTTGATCAATTAGAAGAAGTTGTATCCCAAAATCTTTTAGAAGAAAAACCCTATACATATACAAACAGAAAGATACAATAAAGGATAAAATATGACTATAATAATGAAGTTTCAAAAAGATTTTTAAGAAAGTTATTCTTAAGATAAGCTAGTTTTAAAAAGTTAAAAGAGGATAGAGTAGAAGTTAAAAAATTTTTAATTAAAAAATTTTAAAAAAATTTTTTTAAATAAAAATTAAAAGAATAAAAAAAGTTTAAAAATTAAATTTACTTTGCAAGACTAAAGAATCATGGGGAGAAAGCCATGCATTCCATGCTTTGCTCTCCCCTCCTCTGGAATTCCACTCTTGTCCTTGAAAAGTGAGCTTGGTCTTGGCTGGATGTTCTTGCTGATCTTCTGGGGGAGGGGCCTGTTGCAGTGATTATCAAGTATCTTCGCCCAAGGCAGAATTGTACTGCCCTTGCCAGGGACTGGGCTAAGTAATCTGCTCAGGTTCACTCTCAGGAGCTTTTGTTCCCTGAATGCTTTCTGTAGAGCTCTGGAGGACAGGAATGAAAATGACGGCCTCCTGATTTCTGGCCGAGAGGAGCCAAGAGCTAGATCCTCACTCCTCAGCGCACTCTCAGAGAAAATCACTCAATCACTCTTGTCTCCCTGGTCTCTGGCCATATTCCAGCACACTCTTAGAGAAAAGCACTCAATCACACCCCTCTCCCTGGTCTCTGGCCACACTCCAAACTCACCCAGCCTGTGACCGAGCATTTCTGTCTCTGGCACACAGCTCTGTTTGGAGTCTCCAAACCCTGCAGATTTCTGCTTCTCTGCTCCTCCAGGGAGGTCTCCCCAGATCTGCCACAAAGAGCAGTGGCCTGACTTTGCCACAGATCACAGTTTAAGGTAACTCCAAGCTGAGAGCTCACTCCTCAGCTCCATCTCTGTAGTCAGCTTCCCCTCTCTAATACCTGTGAGTTCTGCTACACTCAGACATGCCCAATCCTTCTGTGACCCCACAGGACCTGAGACCACACTGTCCCCGCAAGAGCTCCACCCCTGCTTAGCCTCTGGAGCAATGTCCCTCAGTGGAGCAGACTTTTAAAACTTCTGATTTTGTGCTCCATTGTTCCACTGCTTGCTGGCAGCCAGCCCCTCTCCCCATGGTCTATCTTCCCGTCGCTTTGGATTCACTTCTCCACACATTCTACCTTTCAGAAAGTGGTTGATTTTCAGTTTCTAGAATTGCTGCTCTTCTTCTCTTTGATCTCCTATTGGATTTGTCGATTTTTCAGTTCTATACCCATCTTCCATTTCAGGAGGAAAAAAGTAGCTCTTCTTCGTACTCCTTTATACTTCTTCTGTACTCCTTACTGGCCCCTGGTCACCCAAATGACTTAGTATGTTCTAAAAAGACATTATGCACTGAAAGTAGAATTACCTCATATTTACTAGAGATCTTGAGGTTGACATCATCTCCTTTGCTACCTTTTATTCAATTTGCCAGACTCCATTCTCACCTTTTTTTGGCTCCTATTTCCTAATCCACATCTTGTGCCAACTAAAGCTTACCATATGCCTGGTCAGTACTTAGAATATCTAGAAAACAGGAAACCCAGATGTTACATTTTTTAATGTTTTTTTATTAGTATTAAAGTAATGCATTTTAATTTATGGGACTAAATGAAGCTTGATATAACATCTGTTTCGCATCTTTCAGGTATGTATCTTTCATACCCTTTATAAAGTGATCTAGTCACATCCAGAGGAGGTAGGTAGATGCTATAAGCACCAAGGTCCCCATTTTTCAAAGAGAAAAATACACAGTTGAGGCAAAATAATTTACCACAATATACACATGAATCATTGGCAATGCCAGAAACTTAATCCAGGACAATCTACTTTGTGCTCATTTCATCCACCTGCTTTCAATCCTTTCCCTTTATCTTCTCAAAGCTCAAAAATACCACAAACTTCACATGAAACTGAGTCTGCTGAGTAATGCCAGCCACATGAAATTCTCCACGTTTGCCTCTTCTGTGCCTCACTTAAGGGTAATATGGAGGGTGTATCAAATAGTGTCCTACCTTCTAAAAGAACAAGCCATCCCTTTGTCTGTTGAACCATTTATATGCCTAGAAAGCACTCTCAGCAACACAGAATCTCATATTCCAGCTCTTTCCTAAACTAGCTTGAAGTCGGTCAATACTAATGTTGTAAATTTTTCTTAATTTCAAAGTTTATATTACAACATAATTGAGATTTCACAGGTGGGACTAAAAGAATTTAATTAATTACAATTATATTTTAAAATGTCTCCCTAGGTTGAACAAATATACTTCTGTCAACAAAAAGTGTTCAATGTTACCACTGAGAACAGAGACCACCTACCCTAACCTTGGTCAATAGATGATCACCACTTAAGACACCCCAAAAAGGAAAGTCTGTGGTCACATGAACTCATGGAGAGGAGAATCTTGGGATAATTGTTACCATGTTACAGGAGAGTGTGGCTGCTTTGAGAACACAGATGCCCTAAGAGGTACGTTTGTTTTATTATGAAAGATCAGTAAGCTCATTTGTCAACATCTACACTGTGGGGAAGAGTGGTCTCTAGAAAATGCCTTCCAATTGATGAAAGTCATCAGAATGTGTACTGGGTACTTCATGCAGACACACGCACACACGCACACACACACACACACACACACACACACACATAGATTAACCAAGGGCCAGGCTCACATAAAAATAAAGCAAGTATTTATAAGTAAGTGCCCAAATCATCCCTTTGGTCCATAAGCATTGCTGAGTGCCCAAGACATTCTAGACAAAGTAAATGACAAGTGAAATCACAAACATAAAGAACTCACAACAGACATTTTAAAGAAAGCCAGAAAATCCCCTTGACTCAAGATTATCCACTTTCCATACTGGCCTAAGGCTGGTGCCTGGGTTCCTCCATTTGGGGTAAGTCCTGCCATCCTCAAGGTTTCCCTTCAAAGAGCAAAGCACCCAGGACAGGGACACTATCAAGTTCCCATCTTCAGCTTCAATGCATTTCATCTCTTTATCAGATTGATTTTTCTTGTGCCAGGAAAAACTTGGCAAGGATATGATGAGAGGGTAAATATTTTTCTTAAGAAAAGATTGGCAGAAGGTCATGAAGGGAAAAGAGCATGAGCCAGGGAGATCACAATCTTAAAATAATATTCAATAATCACAAACAACACTGACATTCTGAATCTACCTGAGAAAAACTTGCATCACACATGGCAGGGCTTCTTTCTTGGTGCTCATTTTCCTGGACATGACTGAGTTGGGCTTTCCTTCTGCAGCTGTAATATGGACAGCTGATGATATCACACTGGCCTCAAACACATAAGTTAACAGCAAATTAATTATTTTCTTTAGTTAGCCTAGTAATTACAGCTGTACACACTTATCAACAAGGCAAAATTTACAACTGACTCATTTACCACCAGCTTAACACCACAGAATAGAACTAAAGGAGGCAGAGTAAAAAGTCTGGCCTTCCTGAATACAACCTGCCACAGAAGGCAAGGCTCAGGCAAAAAATGCATGGCAGAAAACAGCCACAGACAGCAGGATGATGCCATTGATGTTCACTACTGTTCGCCACAAAGGCTTCTCAGAGGTGTCTGTCATCTTTAGCTTCATAGCTTCCTCCTCTTCCTTTGTCATCTTGGGGCCCTTCTGCTGGTCCAAGCCACAAAATAGGTCATAAGCTTGCCTGAAGCATCCTTTTTTCTCCTCAGGAACTTCTGTGTCAGGGAAAAGGTAAAAAAGGATGGTTAGATACAGAAGAAGGAGGTACAAGGAAAGGTTTCAGGAAAGACACCACAAAAGGGAAACATCCGCAGTCTGCAGACATTTCCCAATTTTCTTATTTGCAAGGATGGAAATGGTACAAAATATTTGAATGAACTTAATTATAAGACGAGGGTAATAGATGGATTCTCCATCTTTATGATCAACTAAATTAAGCCTATCTCTACAAGACCAATGCAAATACATTTTGATTTAGAAAAGTCAGAATCAACCAGGAAATAATAGTCTATGAGAAGAAATGTTAACAATGGGCTGGGAAACTATGACATAGAACAACATGGAAAATCTACCTCTGAATCACATAATATATCTGAATCACAAAAATATATCTGTTTACCACATCACTGGAAAGCAGTGAGACTTGCATGACTCAGGAGCATATTAGCTACACCTAAAAGTTCCAAATCTTTACAACAGATCCAACCATGTGGTAATGATTGGTCTGAATACTCCCTGATACAGGCTAGCAACAATGAACACTTCCAGAGCTTAAGATCTGATGTTGCATAACAATATTGTTGAATCAAACCACCTAACTGGTCTTGCCATTCAAAGTGGGTGCCCACCAAGGGAACTTATTCTCTACTCTGAGCCAAGGTGTGGCATTAATGGAATCCCAGGTCTACAGCTCACTAGATATGAAATCAAGCCTACTGTGTTTTCAACAATGTAGTCAGAGATGACTGATCTGTACGCTTCCATTTTTAAGAGTCACAAACTTTTAGAATTGCAAATAACCTTAATAATTAAGCACATACATATACCAGAACCAAAACTCAAGTTTCTGGTTTTGCTGATTCACCTGTCTTATTTTCAAGTTCAGGTAAAAAGTGGATAAATAATACCTTCTTCATTATAAGATTTTATGAGAGAATGCCCAGTGTGTAATAGATGTCAAGAAGTAATAATGTCCTTCTATTCTCTTTTCTCTCATGCACATAAAAAAGAGAGGTAAGTCTCCATGTACCCCTCCACTTTGGCCATCCCACCAAAATAGAATCATGGAGAAGGAATAACAATTGTTGGACTCACTGACCAGCCCAAGGGAGAAATGAGTGGTTATCTGAGTGGCCTTGAGAAAGTCTTTAGATCTCATTTTTCCCATCTGTAAAGTTGGAAGAATTATATTTGTGTTATCTACCTTACAAGTAAGATATGGTGCTTAAATTAATCACTAGAGTAAAGTATTCATAATTAAAATATGTCATGATCATATCATAATCAATCATAATGACAATGACAGTGATGATAACAATATGGGGTTGAAGATAGAGCTTCATGCTCCTGTTTCTCAGATAATGGAGATGGTGACATCCATTATCTATAAAAGCCCTCAAGAGATCTTAATTTATTTTACTTTAATGAGCCAGGGCCTTCCATCTGTTTTCACCATGAGTTAACAAAGAAACAACAGAATTCAAGTGTTGTCATGAACCTCAGAAGTCACTAAGCCAATTTTCTAGCCAACAGGAATCTCCTTTACAGAATCTCTGATAGATGTACACACGCTGCTCACCCTTTTCAAATCAACTCAGAAAATTCTTCCTTAGTAGCAATCATAATGGTAATAATTATAGTCAATTCTTATAAAGAAGCATTATCTCTTTCAATATTCCCAACAGTACTATAAGGCATGGGCTATCATTTAGAATGCTTTTATATTAAGAACCTAAGCTTTAAAAAAAATGGAATCACTTGCACAAGGAGTAGAGAAGTGAGGATTCAATCCCAGCTCTTCTTGAATCCAAATCCCACACTATGTGTTTGCACTATCCTGCCTCCTCACATTGAGTTAAGATTGGATGAGTTCCATTCTGGTGAACAGAGGACATTGAACTGCAAAGCACAACAGGACCTCTTCTTCATAATGTCACTACTTTCAAGAGCAGGAGACATAGCTGATTTCCCAATACATAAAAACAGACACAGAGAATTAGACAAAATGATGAGACAGAGGAATATGTCCCAAATGAAAGAACAGGACAACACCACAGCAAGAGACCTAAGCAAAATGAAGATAAGTAATATGCCTGATAGAGAATTTAAAGTAATGGTCATAAAAATACTCACTGGACTTGAGAAAGAGTGGAGGTCCTCAGTGAGACCCTTAACAAAGACACAGAAAACAAAAAAGAACCAATCATAGATGAAGAACTCAATAGCTGAAATTAAAGATACACTAGAGGTAATGAATAGTAGACTAGAAGAAGCAGAACAGATCAGTGACCAGGAGGAGAGTAATGGAAAGCAATCAAACTGGACAGGAGCAAGAAAAATAATAATAATAATAGTAATTAATAATAATAACAATAAATAAAAATAGGCTTAGGGAAATCAGAGACACCATCAAGTGTAATAACATTTGCATTATAGAGATCCCAGAATGAAAAGAAAGAAAAAAAGAGCCAGAAATTTTATTTGAAGAAAAAAATAGCTGAAAAATTCCTGAATCTGAGGAAGGAAGCAGAAATCCAGACCCAGGAAACACTGTGAACCTCCAACAAAATCAACCCAAGGAGGTCCACACCAAGACACATAGTAATTAAAATGGCAAAATGTAGAGGAGTCGAGATGGTGGATGAGTAAAGGGACCCTGTTTGTCTTGTCCCTCAGATACAACCAGATAGTTATCAAATCATTCTGAACACCTGAGAAATCAGAGATCTGAGAAAACAAATGCTGCTAGTCTACCAGTGAACCACAGTTTGGAAGACAAGAGGTGTGGAGACTTGAATCTGGTGTGATATAGCTGAGGATATAGCAGAGAGGAGGGACCCTGCTTAAGGAGGCTACCAAAAAGCATTATAAACAACAAAACTTTTAGAAGTCTTCTATGATGGGGGATGTGCCTGGCTTAAAGGTGCTCAGGTGGTGAAGCAGGGCAGAATCCTAGGTGTGACAGTGAGGTCAGAGGATCCCTGGGGTCTTAAGAAAAACAGGGGGTGCCTGTGTGGCTTACTTCCCTGGCATAAGAGTGGGGAAGCCGGCTGAGAACAACTCTAGGTGCCGGCTTTCTGCTATGTTGTTATAAACTATGAACCACTGAATGGTCATGTGACCACATTCTTGGGAGGGGTCCAGCAAAAGGCAGAAGTCTCATGAGATGCCCCTCATTCCCCTGGAAGGAACAGTGGTCCCCACTGCCAGAGTCCATAATATTTGGAGTTTTGAAACTCACTCACATGCCTGAGATAAAACAAACAAACAAACAAACAAATGCTTGGTCACAGACCAGGTGAACACAGAGTTCTGACAGAAACCAGGAAGACAAGGTGAGTTGGTTGCTTTTCTGTGAGGGCTCACTGAAGAGGGCGGGTGCAAATTTTCAGCTCCAGGTTTAGAGAACAGGACATAGGCATATTCACCCCACCCATCAGTGCTGAAAGCCTTCAGGGGACAAAAAACAGCACCAGCTAGTAGAGTCTGGGACCACTTACTCTGAGCTCTGCCTCTGCTCACTGCAACCTCTTTTCCACTAGAGAAGTCCACCTGAAAATTCAGGCAACAGACCCCTCCCACAAAAGACCAGCACAAACAACTCACTCTCACCGAGTTTACTAATCATTGAGGGCTGCAAAGCTTCAGCTCTTGGGGAAAATAGTATATAGCATTCTTTATATTCCTATTCTTTGGTCTTTTTAGTATTATTTTTCAGTTATTTTCTCTTTTCAGTTCTTTTTTATTCTTTTTTAATTTTTATTTTTATATATACTTTATATTTAAATTTTTTTTCTTTTTTTTCTTTTTTTTTAAGATTTTATTTATTTATTGGACAGACAGAGATCACAAGCAGGCAGAGAGGCAGGTAGAGAGAGAGGTGGAGGCAGGGTCCCTGCTGAGCAGAGAGCCCAATGCGGGGTTCGATCCCAGGACCCTGGGATCATGACCTGAGCTGAAGGCAGAGGCTTAACCCACTGAGCCACCCAGGCGCCCCTAAAAAATTTTTTTCTTACATTGTATTGTGTGTGTGTGTGTGTGTGTGTGTGTCTTTCTTTCTTATTTGGGACCTAATTTCTTTTAACAAGGAGACCAAAACACACCCAGGATCTAGTGGAGTGTTGTTGTTGTAGTTCTACTGCTGCTTACTGTTGTTTTGGTTGTTTTCTCTTTCTTTCTTCCTTTCTTTTCTGAACAAAATGATAAGATGGAGAAGAATCACCCCAAAAGAGAGAAGAGGAAGGAGTCCTCACTGCCAGAGATTTAATCAATACATATATAAGTAACGTATATAAGTAAATTCTGAACTAGAATTTAAAACAGTGATTATAAAAATATTAACTGGGCTTGAAAAAGGCATAAAAGACACTAGAGAATCCCTTATTGTAGAGATAAAGAGAACTAAAATCTAGTCAGGCCAAAATTTAAAATGCTATTACCAAGATGCAGTCCCAAGTGGAAGCCATAAAAATGAAGATGAAAGAAGCAGAAGAGAGAATCAGTGATACAGAAGATAAAATGATGGAAAATAAGGAAGTTGAAAAGAAGAGGGTAAGAAACCTACTAGAGCACAAAGGAAGACTGAGGGAACGCAACGATTCCATAAAGTGAAATATTATTCATATTATAGGAGTCCCAGAAGATAAGGGGCAGAGGAAAGGCACAGAAGGTTTATTTGAACAAACTACAGCTGAGAACTTTCTTAATCTGGGGAAGGAAAGAGGCATTCAAGTCCAGGAGGCACAGAGATCACCCCCAAAATCAACAAAAATATATCAACACCTCAACATATTATAGTTAAGTTTGCAAATTACAAAGATAAAGAGAATATCCTGAAAGCAGCTCAGGACAAAAGGTCCTTAACCTACAAGGGAAGGCACATAAGGTTAGCAGCATTTGTGTCCATAGAGATCTGGCAGGCCAAGAAGGACTGGAATGACATATCCAGTGTGCTAAATGGGAAAAATACACAGCCAAGAATACTTTATCCAGCAAG